AACATGCTGCTATTATCATTGTAGGGCAATTGCATGTATTTATGCATATGTACCAGGCATTAATCTGTTCAATTTAACTATAATATTCAAGCATCGAGGATTAAACCCAAGCTGCAAATTGAATAAGTGTAGTGGCGATATAGATCGCTGATTTTTTATTTTTTATTTTTTTAATAAGAAATAGAGAATTATATTAAATAAAAAGAGATTATAGTTGAATCTCTATCTTAGGGCATTACAACCTAAAAAATCAAAAGTATAACATACAACACCAGCAATAGATTTAAACTATATTCATAATGGATATAGACAATTAAGTAAAAAAAAAGTCATTTATAACTAGAAATTATAATTGCAATCGCAATCATTGTATGGGTAAATTAGGGTTACTAATATAGAAAGGAAAGTCACTATAAGCATCAGAAGCTATTGGATATTCTCACCTATTTAACCAACTCCATGGGGAGAGTAAGGAAACTCGACATCAACAGTCCCTAACCTACTAGATGTCATCCCTAAATAAAATGAGTTTTTAGCTTGTTGGAGGGTCATGGCCTTTAGCTAATGGAGCTAAAGCCATCCTTGTATTGTCCACAATCACCTTACAAGCTCTCTCTTCCTCCATAAACTCAATGCCATGCTTTTTCTTGCTGTGAATGGTTTTGTCCATGTGCAACATAGGTTCATCTCTACATCTTGTCCTTCTCCATCAACCTTTGCTTCCTTTTGCAACTTTGTCTTGCCCCTTTAACCAGTTAATGTTGTCAAACTCATGCACCAAAGGCACCTCCACCAATTGTGTTGCTTGCTTGCAAACCAATTGGATGCTGATTCGGTTCATCTCCTAGTCCTCTATTAGTCATAACGTCTTCATTGTTGCCCCCCTTTATTCAGTTAGCATTATTTGGGCAAGGTATTAATCAATTAAAGATCTTCATGCTTAGATTGCTCCTTGTCTCCTCCAGACTTATCTCCCACTAGTAATTGAGTATTTGCAGAGAAAGTTTTATCCAAAGTATCAAAATCTTCAAGATACCATGAGTTTTCCAATGGCAAAAATATGACATAAGGACCCGAACTTACACCAAATTCGCAATTTCGAACCTAAACTTCAATTGCGTTCAATGAAGGTCCTGAACTCCACGAAATTCTCAAATAAGGTCCTAATTGGACGGAAAACTAACTTCCGTCAAATCTCCTGTTATTCCGTTAATGTTCCGTCACATTTCACACCCACTTGAAAAAATTGGTAAAATGCTAATTTTGGTCCCTCAACTTCATTGAGTTTCACTTTTTGTCCCTCAACTTCATTAAATTTCACTTTTTTGTCCCTCAGCTTCATTAAATTTCACTTTTTTATCCCTCAACTTTATTAAATTGTACTTTTTTGGTTCATAAACTATTTTTTATACTTTTTTGGTCCTTAAATTATTTTTTACACTTTTTTAATCCATTAACTTTAATAACTGCACAATTTTGATACTTTCATCAGTTTAAGCCATTAACTTTGTCCACTTGGTATTTTTATATTTTTTTGATGACATGTATAATCTAACTGGAAAAAAATAATAACATAGATCATTTAATTAGAAATAATGATGACATGGATAAATAAAACAATATGTAGATAAATTTTTATATTTTTAATAAAAATAAAAAAACCTCTCCACCTATTTTCTTCCCTCGCTAGAAGAAAGAGAAAAAAAGAGGGGGAAGAAAATAGGTAGAGAGGTTTTTATATATTTTTATAAAAAATATAAAGATTTATTTATATGTTATTTTATTTATCCATGTTATCTTTTTTTTTTTCAACTAGATTATATATGTCATCAAAAAAATATAAAAAAATACAAAGTGGACGAAGTTAATGACTTAAACTGATGAAAGTATCAAAATTGTGCAATTATTAAAGTTAAGGGATTAAAAAAGTATAAAAAATAATTTAAGGACCAAAAATGTACAAAAAATAGTTTATGAACCAAAAAATTACAATTCAATAAAGTTGAGGGATAAAAAAGTGAAATTTAATGAAGTTGAGGGACAAAAAAGTGAAATTTAATAAAGTTAAGGGACAAAAAAGTGAAACTCAATGAAGTTGAGGGACCAAATTAGCATTTAACTAATTTTTTTCAAGTGGCGGGTGTGGAATGTGACGGAGACAGAAGTTAATTTTCCGTCCAATTGGGACCTTATTTGAGAATTTCGTGGAGTTCGGGACCTTCATTGAGCGCAATCAAAGTTTGGGTTTGAATTATGAATTTGGTGTAAGTTCGGGTCCTTATGTCCTATTTTTGCCTTTTCCAATTTAGCTTTTAACCAAGAACCAAAGCATTGCACGATCTTACCACCTACATCTTTTATGCAATTTGTAATTCCATAATCATTCTTTATGTAGCCTAAATATCCACAGATGAAACAAAACTTTAGAAGTCTCTCATATTTGATCCTAAGCTTTTTACATTCTCTAGTAGTAATCTAGGAGGTTTTAAATCTTTGTAATGGTTCATCTACCTCCAAATCAATTCTAATTCTCATAGCCTTGCTAAAACCTTCATCCACCTCCAAAACCTTACATAAAGAGCTCTCGATCATAGGCTAAAGTATACTTTTAGCTCCTTGAAGGTTTTAGCCCCTCACTTTATACTATAAAGTTTCTAGCTTCTAAACTTAAAAGTTTGAGGATTTTAGCCCTTAGACTAATAGAATCCATTAACTCTTAATTAAAATGAGAATAATATATTTACAAGATTAGTCTTTAAAGATTAAAATATAACAATTTAGTCTTAAAGTTTTAAAACTAAAAAAATTAGTAAATTAAAAGTAATTAGTGAATCTCTTTGTCACATACATGATAACAGTATTAGCTATCTGCAATCAAATCGAGTGACTAACTCAATCTAAAGAAATAAATCTAACTAAGATTAAATCAAAATTTTTAATTGTATTTTTCTAATCTTTTGGACTTTTTGTCTTAACTCAGTTAAGAAATTTTCTTTAATCTTAGTTAGAATTTCTTCTTCAAATTGAGCTAATTACTTGATTCATTATAGATATCTAATATTATTCTTGTGTATGTGGCAAAGACATCTACTAATTATTTTTAATTTAATAATTTTTAAATTTTTAAATTTTGGTGACTAAATTGTTATATTTTTAATCTTTAAGGGCTGATCTTGTAAATATTTTATTGAGAGTTAACGATTTCATTAGTCTAAGGGCTAAAATCTTGAAATTTTTAAGTTTATGGGCTAAAAACTTCATAGTGTAAGATGAGAACCTAAAACTTTCAAACTTATTAAAGTGAGGGGCTAAAGGTATACCTTTAGCCCCGATCATATGTTTGATTTGCTCACAATGCATACCAATAGGGACATCAAAAATTGTAACCCATAATGGATTTGTAGAAAAATTATATTGCTCCACAATTAAAGAGGCTTGAAATTGCTTTAGAATAAGCAGTGAGTTAATCTCTTTAGAATAAGTAACGGGTTGCTAAAATCCGAAGGACCTCTATGAAGGGTTTTATTGAGATCTCCAATTTTTGAGAATTGAAAAAGATAAATTTTTCTCCAATCTTAGAGATTTTAAAAGTCTTTTTGGGATTCCATGAGACCATTAGAGCATTGTAGAGACCATTGAGATTGATCCTTTTTTGCAAAAGGAGCTTCTCTACCAAACGCAGCTTGTCCACTTTTGCATCTTCTTGATTCCATACTGTATGAAGTGGGAGGATGCCATCCTGATCTTTTGAGATATGGACTCGACTAAACATGGAATCTAAATCCTCATTCACCATTGCTAAAATGACTAAAGCCTACTTTTAGCCCCTCACCTTGTCAAGTTTAAAGGCTTTAGCCTCTAAAACAATCAATTGCCGCAAGCATACAAAACAAGATAATAGAAATGAATACCAACAGCAATAAATGTGAGCAAACAAAACAAAGCCGTGCAAGCCAAGCTCTAGAAATTGGTATCATGTTATAGATTCGAATCACCTTGGGTAATGGCTCATTGAATCAAGATGGCAAGGACAGGTAAGCGATGGTATCCAAGAGAAGAAAAAAGGAAAAAAAGAAGGCTCCTCAAGCAGAGAGAAAACCCTAAAGAGGTGCTTGTCGCCTTCAAAACCTTAACTCTAAGAGTTTGGAGCACTGGAGACTAGATCTTTAGGCTGATTTTTTACTTTTTAGTTTAATGGCCAGATGTTCTATTAACCTAATTTGTGCAAGTTAATCATTGTCTATTTAGCTCATTATTTTACAGTTTAAATTATAAAATAAAAATTTTTAAATGAGATGATGACCTTAAATATTAAAAGATTCCTATTTAAGAGTTAGTATTTTATAATATAAATTGTAAAATACTTTCTCATTTTGTTTTAGTCAAAATAAGCTATTTATGCTGCAACTAAGGAAAAAACAAAACTTGATTAAAATTATAGAGAGGGCCAAAAAAGGGGCAATTAAATAAGAATGGTTAAAGGGGCAAATGAAAAAAATGTCCATTAGAATATACTAAAATTCAAAAATTTTGGGAGGGACCATGACCCTCCTTCCTACATATATTATACTCTGTTTTCTAAGATGGGGAATGAATTCTCTTTTAACTAAATCCCACACTTTGAGTTATTTCTAATTTGACCAACAAGGTTTAGTTTTAGTCAAAATTTGATCCTAATTAACGAACATAAAAGTATCTCACATTAATCAATATTTTTTGTTCCATATGGTCACAAATTTCTTGGGTTCTGCTCTAAACCCAACCTAATACTAGGTTTTTATTTGAGAGGCTAGCTAACTTAAGCGACATTAGGCTCAATCTCAAATTTGAACCTCACAATAAAGCAAAAGCTAGCCACCAAATGCCCTGAAATACCCCAAAAAAATTTCTAGAACAATTAAGTGTGAGCTAGGGACCTAATTGTGAGCAAATAATATTATTGAGCTTAATCATAAAATTTTCAAATTTGAGGGACTTAAAAGAGAAAAGAATTAGGATAAGGATCGACTGATTTTTTCTCTTTCTTTCTTCCTCAGCCACACGTTTCTGCTCTTCTTCTTCTCCCCTACAGCCGAACAAGAAGCCCTAAGCCATCGACAACACCCACCCACTTGAGAACCGGTAAAAGCTTTATTTTTTCCCTTATTTTCTTGTTCAAGAACAAGATTTAGAACTTAGAAATCTTCCCCCTGCAGAAAAATTTCAGATTTGCTTTGTTCCTTTCCCCTCCGTCCGTTGCTCTTGGCTGTGTGGGTGTGAATTTTTCAGGTTTTTGGTAAGGAAACAGCCACTAATTCCTCTTTTCTCCCTTGATTTGGCTTGGGTTTACTCTAATTTCTTTTGGTTTCTCCTAATTTCTGGTAGATCCCCTAAATTCTCTTTCAATTTTTGTCGGCTTCCCCAACTCGCTAGCTCCGATTTTTGCTTGCTGAATTTTCTTGTATGTGACAGCTCCCTCTAAGTCCAAAATTACCCATTAGCTGCTGAATTTATCCAGTAATTGCCACCCCTGCGCTGTTCGAATTTCTGCTAAAATAGAGGATGCATTCCGGTAGCAATTAGAACAAAATTTAAGCTTAATTCATGTAGAATTTATGTGATTGGGTATTAATTGGCTGCTGTGAGGTTCTAGAGAAAAATCCCGTGAATTAGCTATTGTTTTGCCAAAGCCAGTTCCTCCATGTTGTCCGTGAATTTGGTGAATTTTGTATATGTGTGTTTATGTACATATATATAAATGCACAATCTGATTTTTGGGCTCAAATTTCAGATAAAAGAAAAATAAGGATAAATAAATAAATAAATAAGATTTCTTTATGGGATTAATGGCGGGCAACAATAGGAAGGTTTAAATGTTTAGTTTATATTGAGAATAAAATTGAGATGTCCGGTCATATGGTTATTAGTTCTGGAATATTTTGGTTAGGTTCTTGATTATTTTGTCACCCTAGCACTTGGAGTGAGTTTTCTGTGTTATGTGATTGAAGTAAGTAAATTATGGTAAGTAAATTATGGTAATGCCCTTCGATTTTAAAATAAAAGCATATTTTAAATTATTTTTGAGATTGTGGCAAGGTTTAAATTGATTTTATTAACACCTGAGCATGATTAGAATGGAAATGAAAATTTTTATTATTTTGGGGTTGAGCATGCCCACATGGAATTTTTATGGTTTATTCTTGAAATTTGAGATTGATTGTGAATTACAGATTTTTCCTGTAAATCCTGGATGGTTTTGTCTCTAATATAGTCATGATTATTGACGCTCGCTAGTAGGAGTTTGCAAACACTAGCACATGTCGACATGTATACCAATAGAATCGGTTCATTTTGTAATCCTGCCAATGGGATAATACATTGGTTATTACTGATGCTTGCCAGTGGAAGTTTGTTAAACACTGACCATGACTTATAGATGAGACTACTACTGAATCTTATTCTACATTAATGGTTTATCATTGAATGTCTTGTTATGTTAAATTGTTTATCAGGCATGCTTAAATTTTACTCACGGGTTATCCATATTTTTACTTATTGAGATATCTTATCTCATAGTTTTCCTTGTCCACCATTTTAGGAAGTGAGACCCAAGGCACGATTAACCAGGGGGAGTGACGAGCTAGAAGGCTAGTCAGTATTTTGGACTTAGATCCTTTTTGGACTTAGGCCGTTAGCCACACATGCTTGACATAGATGTGAAATAATAAATCATTTTTGTATACTGAGTTTCCCTTGGTTGTAGCCATGACTGTCTTATAAACTTTTGTACATCTTGACTAGTAAATTTTTGGTAATTGAAGACTAGATATTAATCTAGTTTTTAGATTTAAGTTATGTAAATTGGTAATTATGAACACAATAGGTTTCAAACCTTGTGCATTTGTGGGACCCGTTCACTAGTGTACGACGTTTATTTTGCTCTTGGTTTTGGGGCATGACAGATTGTGTGGTATCAAAGCCTAGGTTTAAATTAAATACCTAGGATTTGTTTAGAACTTGGCTAGCCAATGGATTATAGGAACGTGGTGAGGCATGAGAGTGGGGTTGATTAAGGGCACTTGTTTGATTCTTTCATTAATGTGTGTTGGATTTTAATTATTAGGTTTTTGGTCCTGGAAGTGGAAACTTGCCTAGAAACCCTAATTTGGGGCACTTGATTAATAGTCTATGAACCTTTTATATGGTTATAGACGGCTCCAAAACGGCGTGGGCGCTCGAGGGGTGGCCATAAAGATCAAGGCACTCCTCCAATCCCAACTGCTTGCCCCTTTGCCCAAGCTACTCCTCAAGAGGAAGGGATGAGTAACCCTCAAATGGCCACTTTTGTTCAAGAATTTATGGCGGAGATGAGAGGCCAAGCATCTTCTGCCACAAGTGTGCCACCTCCATCCCTAGTGGTTTCCACTCCTATGGTCCCTGCTCCTATATCTTCTACTCCTGCAGTGCCTAGCTGGAAGGTCTATACAGAATTCTAGAAGGTGGTGACCAAGAAATTTGATGGTACCGTGGATTTTGAGCAGGTGGGGTCATGGATTACCGAGGTGGAGAAGGGATTTCGCCTATTGAAGATTTCTGATGACCTTAAGGTCGATGTGGGCAGTTATATGCTTACGGATGAAGCATTGACTTGGTGGGAGAGTTACTTGAAGCTACACCAAGGAGAGCCTGAATTGAGCACCTATGATGGTTTTAAAAAGATGTTCATACAAGAATACATACCCGATAGCAAAAGGCGTTAGTTGCAAAGGGAATTTGCAGATCTTAAACAAGGGTCACGTACTATTGAGCAATACAAGAAGGAGTTTGACCGTTATCTGCCTTTTGTGGGTAGTAAAGTCGGGGATGAGCAAGCCAAAGCTGATAGATTTTTATGGGGCTTGAATCCTGCCATCTATCTAGCAGTGAATCAATTCAAACTCGCCTTTTATAGAGAGGCGGCAGACAGAGCCATAAATCAGGAGAAGGCTATGGCTAGAGTCAAGACACCAGACCCGCATAAAGTTGGGTCATCCCTTGGGAAGAGAAAATTTGATTGGAGTCGTAGATAGTTTATCTTTGCATTGCCTAAGTCTGACACTAGCAAAGGTTCTAAAGAGCTAAGGGTTGCCAAGACTGTGGGTCAGGCATCAGCAACCCAGCGTATTCATCCTGCTCCACCTATTTGCCACACTTGTGGAAGAGTTGGGCACACTCGCGACCAATGTCACATTACTACTAGGGCTTGCTTTAGATGTGGCAAGCAGGGACATCGAGTTGCTAATTGCCCGCAGCCGGACCCCAAAGCTCAGAATACTTAATCTACATCTCAGCAGGGTTCTACTAATCATGTAATACCCCAAAAAAATTTCAAGCACATTAAGTTGAGTTAGGGACCTAATGGTGAGGAAACATTATTAATGGACCTAACCGTCAATTTTTCAAACCTTAAAGGGGTCAAAAGGTTTTTGGAAAGGTTTTTGGAAAGGTTTTTGGATAAGGCCGGCTGACGCATTTCTTATTTTTCTTATTTTTCCTTCTTTCTTTCTTCCCCAGCCACTTCGCGTGTCTGCTCTGTTCTTTCTTCCTTTGCAGCCGAACATGAACCCAACCATTTCCAACGCCTCCACCTGAAAAATTGGTAAGAGAACTTGATAATTTTTGTTCTTCTCTTGCTCAAGAACCAGTCTAGGACTTAGAAATCTTTTCCCTTGTAGAAAAGCCACCAGATCTGCTGTCTTCTCTTCCCCTGCCGCCGGCTGCTACTGGGCTGAACTCTGGTTTTTCCTGGCAAAATCAGCCATGAAATTCATCTATTCTTTTTTAATTTGGCTTGGGCTCACCCTAATCTTGTTGTTCTTCCAATTAGCAAACTCGTGGAAGCTTCCCTGCATTTTTCCCGCTAGCTCCTCCCATACTCGCCAGCTCTAGCTTTGCTTGCTTAGGATTTCTGGTAAGTTGGCTCCTCTAATCTCCGAAAATTGGTTGATTAAGTGTTGATTGTGAGTTTAAGTGGTTGTATGAAATGGGCTTGGGTT